GGTTTGTTCTTTAATCATACCTTCTAACCTACTTTGATTTTTTGTTAATTCATTGAGCGTTAAATTCATTTTTTGGCAAATTTGTAATAACTTTGACAAACTTCTTTGATCTAGTTTATCTGCAGTTGCTACAATAAATACATAGTAAATGTTAATTAATACGTGATCATGTTAATAAACGTAATAAACAGTTTATAAATGAAGAACTCTACCTTGAGAAGTTATTACTTTTGAGGAGGAGGAGTAGGGAACAACTTCTATAGATTTAGATACAGCCATTGTTGCAGTTGTAGGTGTTTTAGAGGAAGCTGTATATATAATAAACTTTAATAAATATGTGATCATGTTATTAAACGTAATAAACAGTTTATAAATGAAGAACTCTACCTTAAGAAATTATTACTTTTGAGGAGGAAGGGATATCTTCTCTAGATTTAGATACAGCTGTTGTAGAAGAACGAGCTAATGATGCTTTAGAAGAATTAACCGGTAATACTGTCGATGATGTTTCTTTCATTGTTGGAGATAAAAGGCTTGAATTATTATTGAACAAATCAATTTTCGCTATTTTTATTTTTTAGGTTGTAGAATAACATCGTCACTTGGTTGTGATGGTGAAGTTGAAGTTGAAATTGTATCCAATGTTTCTTGTAATGGTGGTGATAGAGTAATTGATTGTGTACCTATGATCGTGTATTTTTATGTGATTTAACGGCAGTATCTGTTAATAGCGTATTTTGAAATACGTTTTATCCAATAAAATCTTCCTACTAGTCGAAGCCTAGAGGAGAATTATAATCTATGTAAGTGACCTTAAATAAACATGATTTACACGACATATAAAATAATTGAATTAATTACCTTTTTTTTCATCTTAATCCTAGTTGATCTTCTTTTGGTCATTGTAAAACGTTAAAATTGAGAGTTTTACTTTCTTTGTTTTCCATATTCTATTTTTAAAAAAATATAAATTTAGTTAAAAAGGAAGGAAAAAAAGAAAGAGAGTTAAAAAGCAATTCATTATTATTTCACTTAAAACGCCAAGAATCAGTAGTTAATCACTATCAGAAAATGCCTTGACGTTCGCATTAATGGATTTCATTTTCTCTAAATAATTTTTTGATCTGACCAACATTGTTCAATGTCATTTTTATGATTATTAATAATTAATAATTATTAAATTATAAATATGTATAATTTTAATATATTGAAATATTGTAATGTCTCACCTATTATAAGACCGAGAAAGGAGACAAAAATAAGCTATAGTTATTCAATACCATTTGTTCATAATTGTTAAAAAAAATGCACTACCAATGTCCACATTGTGAAAGGGATTTCTCTCGTCGTACTGCTTTACGAAACTATATAAAAACTCACAAAAGTGCAATTGATAGAATTCTAAATGAAATTGTTGAAGAAAGTGAAGAAGAAGTGAAAAATGTTGAAGAAAGTATTCAACTAGAAAGTGAGGAAGAAATGTACTATGAAGATCAAATAGAAGAAACAGAAATGAATGTCAAATATAATTATCTAAATGAAAAATTAGATGACATTCAAGAAGAGTTAGTTGATATTCGGGATGAAATGTTGGATGAAGTTCAAGAGCTGGGTGACATTCAAAAAGAGTTGGATGATGTTCAAGATAAAAAGTTGGTTGACATTCAAGAAGATGAGTTGATTGATTC